CCTTCTGTTTGAGAGGCATTTTATTTGATGAAATTCTAGGCCAAAATCCAATAGTTTAAAATGAAGTAAAACCTTTGATGTTGTTTGAGCATGGTTAGCTTAAGATGTTTGTTAGGATGTTTCTTGTGACTAATCTGGTATTTATTGCAGCCTCCATCTTTTGTCTCCACCAGGGAATAATTCAGTTAGTGACGCCAATGTCCTTTTAGTTATATTAAATCACATCTCATCTGGAGGTTGAAGTTTGATATGAATTGCCGAGTTAGTCTCAATACCAGTAGCATTTAATTAATTAAAAATATTTAATTACCCTGTTTTCTTTTCCGTCCATTTTTCATTAAACTAAAAGTGACCTAAAAAGGAGTCCAGGCCATATGGAGTTACTGAGACCTCCAGTGAGAGGAAGCTGAATTGAGATTGAGAGCTCAAACGCTCTGTCAATTCTAGTCCCTGTCAAGCTGCCAGAAGTGTACTTGGATAATTTGGGAAGGAAGTGCCACATACTTCCCCCTTATTCTATCAAATAACCTGACCTACATTGTGAAAACTATCAGCACAATTATTTGTCAGTGATGGGATTTGACTGCTAGTCTCCCAGCCACTAGCCCATTGCTTTCGTACTTTGCTGTCATTGTACCTCATTCAATGATGAGCTTCAATTAACAGGTGAATAATGGCAGATAGAATTCAGCGGAGCGCTGGTATCAAACTCATGATAAATCTTATCTTGTACAAATGTCTTATAATTAAAGTAAATAAATCAGCCTTGTACTTGATATTGTGCTTTATCATGTAAGATATCAATTACTTTTAGAAGTGTATTGGTTATTGTTATGTAGACAGCTAATCTGCTTCAGCAATGTCTTATAAATAGCTATGAGACAAATGACCAATTAAACTGGTGAAATTGAATGAAAGAGAAATATTGGCCTAGACATTGATATGAATCCCTGTTCTGCTCCAAAATAGTGCCACAGGATCATTGGTTTAATGCCTCAATCAAAGAAAGCATTTTGTCTCAGTTGGTTTGTGAAGGGGGGGAGCTGGGGAGACCAACGAGGGGTATATTGGAGACATCGAGGCAGGTGATGATGAAAGCATGGTTTCAGCAGCACTGGGTGGGAGGTTTGGTTGGATGGATGTGGAAGAAAGTGGTCCTGGTCTAGGATCTCATGTGGGATAGGAAGGATAGTTGGGGATCGAACTGGATAATAATACAATAAAATGCTGAAGGTGGAGGAGTTCAATGTTGGGAGAAATAAAATCATCAACAATAGCAATTTACATTTATATAGCACCATTCACAACATTTCTCAAAAGTGCTTTGGTGGTTGACGGGATTGGGGTTGGTGGTGGGGGGAGAGGCAACTGAAAACATAGTTGAAGGGAAATATCCTGAAGTGAGTTTTGAAAGTGGGGAGGGAGGGGGCAAAGGGGAGGGACTCTGGGATGCAGTCCCAGAGAGCAGGGGCAGAGTGCCTGAAAGATCCCCCATTGATGGTGGGATAGATTACTTGCCGTGGGGAGTGAGTGGCTGAAACAGCAGGTGGCAGGAAGTCACAGAGACAGGGTGAGGGGAGGGGATGCGGGGGTTCGAACATGAGGATGAGAATTTTTAATTCAAACCATTGAGGGGCGGGGAGCCTGTGGAGCTGAGCGAGGATGGGATGATGGGCTCATGGAGCCTGATGAGGAAAAGGGCACAGGCTACAGAGTTCTGGATGTTCTGCAACTTGTGTAGGGAGGAGCTGGTAAATCTGGTGAGGAGGGTGCTGGAATAATCAAGCCTGGAAGTGATGAAGGCGTGAATGAGGGTATCAGCAGTCCGGGGGTGGGGGAGAGGTAATGACGGAGGCAGGCAAGGTTGCAGAGGTGAGGGGAAACCATGTGAGTAAGAACCTAGATTAATTAGTTCAAAGACAGTTGAGGGTCAAATAAAGCAGTGACGTTCTGCACTGACTCTGTGAGCATCTGTGCAGGTCAATGCAGTCATCCCCTGAGGTGAGAAGGCACTGACGGAAGCCAAGCAGGACAGTCTCAGTCATATTGAAATTAAAATTCATCCAGGGCTCAACAGCAGCAAAAAAATTACATTTTTATACATGTATGACGGGCAATCAGTCAGAACAGCAATTTTCCGGGAATCAAGGTCAAAGGCAGAGAGATAGAATTGAGTATAATCTGCGTACATGTGGAATTGGACACCATGCCTGCAGATAATATCACTAAGTGGGAGCATGTGGGTGAAAAGGAAAGGGCCAAGGTTAGAGGCATGAGGATCAGTACTCCTATAGGCAAAACAATTGCAGTAATAGTAATCCTTGCATTTGCTGTAGCACCTCTCATCTTCAGGAGGACGTCTCAAAATGCTTCAGAGGATATACTGTAAAGTGGAGAAACTGTGTATTTGCAGGCGAACGTGGCAGCCCATTTGAATAGCGCAATGTGCCACAAACACAATTTGGGGAATTGTCAGCCAGGTCACAGGGAGAAGCTTCTTTTGCTTTTCCAATCGTGCCATGGGCTCTTTAACGCCCACCTGAAGAGGCAGATGGGACCTCGGTTTAACATCTCGTCCAAATAATTCACTTCCTACAATGCAGCATATCCCCGGCTCTGCACTGAAGTGTCAGCATAGAATATGTGAGTTCAAAGTCCTGATGTGGGGCATGAATCCACAACCTTTTGACTCAGTGAGCCAGGCTGACATATCAAAAAGGCCTTGTGGCCAAACAGTCCACCAGCACTCAGTATTAAGGCTTGCGCGTGAATAAAACTCACGTGGGCAAGGGAACGGAAGCTGACAGTCACTGGTGGAACCATACCCCAGTAAAAGGAAAAAGGAGTCAAGCCCTTTGTGGGGATCGGTACCAAATTTAGAAGAAAAAATGGCATTAAAAAAGAATGGAACGCAAGACCAGGCCTGGATAAGTCAGCGAGTACAGTGTAGTCATTCAGCTTTAAACTCCAGTGAAATGATTACAGTTCTCAAAGTCTAAACTTCATGACACTAGCTTATTAGCATTATATTTCTTTCACTTTACTAAATAAAGCCAGGAGAACACCAGGGAAATTTAAATAATTATACATTTAACTGCTTAATAATCAGTGTACAATGTAACTATTTCTCAAAGGTATCAAAGCGAATGAAGAAAAGGCAGGGAAATGAGTACGGAAATGTATTTTCATGTTGTGTGGCAATTAAGTTATCTTCATACCTCCTAAAGACACCATTTAATGTCTTCTCCAAAAGTCCCACAGAGTTTGGTGACGTGTTTATTGTATTGCCTGGCAAGAAGCCTTTGGCATTTCGACTGTGGCTGTATAGAGGACATTGAGGTCGGAACATGGGAAACCCCATTAGGACCAAGTGAATGAGTTAATAATCACCACTGCCTGAGCACTAATCTGTACTGTGTGCGGGACCAGTGAGCAATAACACTGCAGGTTGATTTTATTAGACTAAGAGGAGTTGCTTTCTGAAGGTGGTGCTGAGGTTTATCATGTGATAAGTCCCAAGCAGGCTTCACACAGGCTGAACTTAATTGGTTTTTAAGCTTGCAGGAGATGAAGCCAAGCAGACTACATAATGGAAAATGGATAATAATAGCAAGTGCTTAAAGAGACAATCCTCTACTGTGTTAGAGATGGCATTGGGATTCCCCTGAAATGTAACATTAAAGGAGGTGTGGAAAGTGTTTAAAATGTTTATGCGTTGCCAAAATCCAAGGTACACATTAATAATAACAATAATAATTCTTGCATTTGATATAGCACCTATCATATCATTGAAACGTCTCAAAGCGCTTTACAGGATATATTGTAAACTGTGTATTTTTGTGGGCGAAATGTGGCAGCCGGTTTGTGCACAGCAAGTGCCCATAACATACAGTCCAGCCTCATCTCCCTGTCATAATGGTGAAGTGATGGATATGGTAAACTCTCTATAATGTCTGACTCTCCAGCAGAATCCTCACTAGCTCAGTCAAATGTTGGGTAGCACCTAGGAACTATCTTAACATCCAGACAGCAGGCTGGTCCCATCTGTGTCAAAATGCTGATGTACCAATATAACTGCCTGCAAAGTACCACATGATATAGCTCTATATTAATAGCTCCACATTTCTACTTATACATGTTTTCTGAATGAGCTTTTAGAAAAAGAAACTTCTATAGCTACTATTTATATGTGTATAAATAAATCATGCTGAATTTTTGATTCTTTGTTTGTCCATTTTTCCGAGTTTGCGAGTTTCAATTTGCGCACAGCAATGTGGCTCCAGCCATGGAGTGAGTAACCAATTTTATTTGGAGGATTTGTTGGCCAGGACACAGAGAGAAAGTCTCTTCTCTTTTCGGGTATTGCCATGGGATCTTTAAAATCTACCTGAACAGGCAGACGGACCTCGGTTTAATGTCTCATCCGAAGGACAGCACCCCTGACAATTCCAAACACCCTCAGCACTGCATTGCAGTGTCAGCTTCAACACAAAACCTTCTGACTCAGAGGCGAGAGTACAGCCACTGAGCCAGGTTGCCGTACAATGTCCATATTGTTATGCTGTGTCTGCCTCACTTCACTATAATTGACCTGAAGCACTATATCTATAATAATATTCAAGTGAGATTCAAGTGGAATACAATGTGCCGTACTATCACTAGTAATATTAGAAGGAAAATTGAGACATGTTATGACAAGGTGACCAAAAAATCGCGATACCTATCCTATTATCTAAAAAAACACCAAAATATCATCATTTCTTTAAGACTTATTAGACATTGTAATGGCATCACTTTTTTTGGGTTACCCTGCAAAACATATTTTCATCTGCTCCAGAGTCTACTCAAACTTTCCAAAGGTTTCATTTACTATATAACTCTAGGCATTGAATAGCACGGAGCCTGACAATGGAAAAGAACACACAATCGCTGAAAACATTTTAAGTCACAAATCATGCTTTCAAGTTCAAGAAGCTACAGGTAAATGGTGATATACCCACAACAAAACATGGACCAGCAGATGTTTTCAGGCAATCTTCTAGGAGGTTCATCCGGGTCCTATGGAGCTCTGGGCTATCCCACTCTTCTGGGTCCAGTCCCCAGTAAACATCTATCACCTGCAAATTGATGTGCAAAAAGTAATTGTTAAAAAAAAACATGGCAATGAAAGAAGCAGGCTGTATGAGGGGAGACGGGTTGTGTGTGTGAGGAGGAGCGGGCTTTGCGTGAGATGGGGAGTGAGCTGTGTGTGAGTGGGCTGTGAGTGAGGTGGGGGAGTGGGCTGTTTGTGTGAGGGGGGGAGTGAGCTATGTGTGTGAGAGGGGGAGTGAGCTATGTGTGTGTGAGGGGAGTGGGCTGTTTGTGTGAGTGTGGGAGTGAGCTATGTGTGTGTGAGGGGGGAGTGGACTGTGTGTGGAGAGGGTAGATTTACCAGGAGGTAAATAGAAGCTGGGATTCTTCTCCTTGGAGCAGAGTTAAGTTAAGTTAAGAGGAGACTTAATAGAAGTTTTCAAAATTATGAAGGATTTGATAGGTGAACAAGGAGAAACTATTTCCACTGGCGGGTGGGTCGGTAACCCGAGGACACCGATTTAAAATAGTTGTTGAAAGAAACAGAGGGGAGGTGAGCAGAAATTTTTTCACACAGTGAGTTGTTCGGATCTGGAATGCATTGCCTGACAAGGTGATGGAAGCCGATTCGGTAACAACTTTTAAGAGAGAAGTAGATAATTATTTGGGGAGGACAAGTTTGCAGGGCTATGGGGAGAGAGTGGGGGTGTGAGATTGATTTGGATAACACTTTTCAAGGAGCCGGCACAGACACGATGGGCCGAATGGCCTCCTTTTGTGCTGTATAATTCTATGATCTGTGTAAAACAACTCCTCCTAATCAGTCCCTTTGTTTATTATTTTAAATTGATTTGCTTTCAACACTGATTCTCCGACCAGTGGAAATAATGTTTCCCTATTGACCCCATCATAACCCTCAGCCTGAATACCTGCTCAGGGATTACATTGTGAGTACATTTAAATAGTGGCATAAAATAAGACAACTTTAAATCACAAATTTCCAACGATTTCATACTTTGCCATTAATTAATACCATGGGTTAAGAAAGCCTGTAGATTTTATCCCATATACTTGTGTATGCACATAGATGTATGTTTGTGTGTGTATGTGTGGGTTTGTATATGCCTGTCTGTATATGTGTGTATATGTGTGTCTGGGTCTCCATGGGCTGCTGAGATCCTCATTAATGTCTTCACATTCAAAGACCATTCAAACACTCTGTTCACCAGACTCCCCAGCTCCTCCCTACACAAGCTGCAGACCATCCAGAACTTTGCAGCCTGTGTCCTCTCCTGCACCAGACTCTGTGAGCCCTGTCACCCCCATCCTTGCTCGGCTCCATTGACTCCCCATTCTCCAATGAATCAGATTCAAGATCCTTGCACTCATGTTCAAATCCCTCCAAGCCTTGCCTACCCTACCTCTACCCTACCACCCTAGCTGCTCTCTCCACTAAGGGAACACCAGTTTGCTTCATGCCCACCACTAATGGCCAATTTTTCAGCCAATCTGCCCGTGCTCTCTGAAACTCCATCCTGGAGTCCCTCTTCCTTGCCCTGTCCTGTATGCGTTTGTGTGTGTGTGTCCATGTTGTATGTGCGTGTGCATGTTGTGTAAGTTTGTGTGACTGTGTGTCTGTGTGTGTGTGTATGTATGGGGAGAAAACTTTGATGCTGCTCTTTAGTGTGTACACAATTGTGCTAATTCTCACACATCAAACAGTTAAATGTGTTTATGATGATCTTTTCCAAGTGAGAATTACCAGAAGAACTGAATGTATTTCTGCACTTAGATAGTGATGCATTTGCTGATTACACCAGGGTTTTAGAATGTAAGTTTTCAGCTGATATTTATGTGCTAAAAATCCAACGCAACAACATTAAAGCTGAAGTTAATGAGAATGGGATACAAGATGCAATATGAAAGCCTCATTTTTGATATTTGACCTAAATATCACAAATGTTTGGGGGGCACCGCTGTGTGCAATTGGCTGCCACGTTTCACCCACAAAACTGCACAGTCAATCCACTTTACACTATATTCTGTGAAGCGCTTTGAGATGTCTCAACGACATGATAAGGCCCTATATCAAATTCAAAAATTATTATTATATCTGCTACGGATACGATCTGACAAGAAATGAACCTAAGAGAGGCGTTAAAAAAAACAGCTGTGATGTGTGTAGTAATTTCTGCTCCACAGAGAGCCATGCAGCTCATATACTGCTACAATGTGCAAACAGATTGGAGCTGGCAGGACCATCTCAAGCACAAGGCTTCCTTTTGCCCTCCTGCTGCTAGCTGTAGCTGTGTGAAAGCCCACGTTAAGTGTCTTCAGGCCAGCAGGAAAACTGGATGCAGTACATTGAGACCAAGGAACTGAAGCAGGGCTGTTGCTACATTAGAACAGAATCGCAACAGAGGGCTGAAATCGCAATCCAGGTTGTGTTAATTACCACTGTCTTGCTGCTAACAAAAGAAAAACTTACTTTTGTTTCAAACACCTCAAAGCATATCATAATAATTCCTGTAACATGTAGTAACTTGTTTGCAGGCAAATGAGGCAGCTATTTTGCACACAGTCAAATCCTACAAACAGTCAGGAGATGAATGTCCAATTTATTTGAAGGATTGTGTGCCACTCTATCAGGAGAAACTCCCTTCTCTTCTTGAATAGTGCCAAATCCTTAACAACCACTTGATCAAGCAGGCAGAACTTCCTTTTAGCATCTGATTCGATCAATGCCACCTTTGACAATATAATGCTCCTCCATTCCACTCTTCGAGAGTGCTAGCCAAGCTTATACACCCACTAAAGTCTGAAATAAAGGTGAGATTGTGACTACATAAGCCAAGCTGACACCTAAAGACAAGTGGCTGGTCCACAGAGGTGGCTTTCCCAATTCTATCACAAGGCTGGGCCTGGGGCCACTCTTGCTGCCCATGGGATATTCCAAATTTGTGGATTGGAATGGCATGAAATGCAGTATTGCTTTAACTTTTTTTTTTGAGAAGCTAAACTGTTTATGATTACTCAATGCAACGAGCCAACATCAAGATCAACCACTGCTTCAAAGTCGAGAAGGAGGAGTGTGCACATCCTCTGACAAGTCAATGCCATTAGTACAATAGGGCGATACCTTAAGTGATATACAGAGTACTGTATAAATTGTCACCTGGGACACCAGTTCAGTGTATGATGCTCTACTTCAAGAAACTGTAAAATTCAATGCCCACTTTCATGATGGAAACATCAGTTTGATGACACTGCATTTGATTTTAATAAATGAGCATATTATGCTTAAAATACTTTATCCACACTGATACCCAATCTGATTTTCCACAATGATAAGACATAAAATGCCAACAGGTTTTCCAGTTCAGACTTCCTTCTAGATAACAGTTCCCACCTTCCCTGAGGTGAAGCTGCAGGAGATGACAGGATATGTTTGGAGCCTCAATAACCTTTGTCCCATAACCTGTCTCTAAACATCCATTTACATGTATACTGCTTGACATTTTGTTTGGACTGGTGCTTACAATGGGAAGAGGTGACAAAGGATCTACAATTAGACAAAGTAAGAGGTCTCAGGTTTTTTATGAAGATAAACAGCAACAACAAAATTACATTTGTAAAGCGCCTTTCACGTCGGGAAGAAGTCCCAAGGTGCTGGACAGTCAAAGTTTTGGACCTGAGCTGGGCTCGGGATCGGGGAGGGCAGAGGCCGAAGAAGGGTGACCAAAGGCACGGTCGAAGAGGAGGGTCTTGAGATGGGTCTTGAAGGAGGCAAAGGAGGGGGCGAGGCGGAGGGACTGTGGGGTGGAGTTCCAGAGGATGGGGGCAGTATGGCAGAAGGCCCGCCCGCCAATGATGGGGTGGGCGAGGTGGGGGACGTGAAGCAGGTCAGAGCCTGCTGAGCAAAGGGAGCGAGCAGGTTGGTAGGGGTTTAGGAGATCGCAGAGGTAGGGGGGAGCAAGACTATGGAGGGCTTTGAAGGTGAGGACCAGGATCTTGAATTGTATCCTCTGTGTGATGGGAAACCAGTGGAGTCGGGTGAGGATGGGGGTAATGGGGACAAGGAGCGGGAGAGGACACAGGCTGGAGAGTTCTGGATGATCTGCAGCCTATGGAGGGAGGGGTTGGGGAGGCCAACAAGCAGGGAGTTTGCATAGTCAAGCCTCGATGTAATAATGCACGTATGAGGGACTCGGTGGCCTGCGGTGTGAGACAATGGTGGAGCCGGGTGATATTGCGGAGGAGGGAGAAGGCATAGCAGGTCATGGCACGGATCTGGGGTAGGAAGGATAGTTGAGGGTCAAAATGACGCCAAGGTTCTGGACTGGCTTAGTAAGGTGGATTATGCATCCTTGGATGGTAATGCTGTTAGTGCCTGAGGTGTGGAAGTGCTGATGGAAGTCAATTTGAGAGCCTCGGTTTTGTTGATGTTCAACTGTAGAAAGTTAGCTCTCATCCAAGACTTGATGTCTGACAGACATTCTGTCAGGACAGCAGTGGCCCTGGAGTCGAGGGTGGAGGCAGAGAGATAGAGCTGGGTATCATCTTCATACATGTGGCAATTGACCCCATGTCTGTGGATGATGTCACCAAGTGGGAGCATATAGATATTGAAAAGGAGGGAACAAGGACAGAGCCCTGAGGAACTCCACACGAGACGGTGCGGGGTCTGGAGGAGAAGCCGTTTGTGGCGATGGAGTGGAGATGGTATGAAAGGTAGGATCTGAACCATTCAAGGACAGAACCATGAAGGTTGAGGTGAAAGCAGAGGCGGTGGATGAAGATAGAACGGTCAATGGTATTGAAGGCAGCAGAGAGGTCAAGGAGGACGAGGAGGCAGAGGGAGTCCTGGTCGTAGATAGACAAAATGCGATTTGTCACTTTGACCAAAACTCTTTCTGTGTTGTGGGTGGCATGGAAACCTGATTGGAGGGGTTCATGAAGGGAGTGGCAGGAGGGGAAGGATCGAAGCTGGGAAGCAACGACTTGTTCGGGGACCTTGGAGAAGAAAGGGAGGTTGGAGATGGGGCGGTAGTTTGAGTGCAGGAATGGGTCCAGGGAGAGTTTTTTAAGGATAGGAGTGATGACAGCCATTTTTAAAGGGATGGGAACAGTATCAGTGGACAGGGAGAGTTTTATGATGCCAGTGAGTAGAGGGGAATGGAGGTGGAGTTGGGAGCTGAGGAGAGGTGTAGGGATGGGGTCAAGGGAGCAGGTAATCTGTTTCATATGGGTTATGGTGGTGGTGGTGAGAGGAGTGGGATACAGGTTCGCTGGTGTGGAGGGAGGAATGGTTGTGATAGGGAGATGGGGAAGGAATAGTAGTCGGAAGGGCAGAGGCAGATGAGCGAATCCCCTCGACTTTGGTTTTGAGGAAGCCAGCAGCACCTCGCAGTTGGCATTTGAGGTAAGGATGGGCGAGGCATGAGAGGATGGGTGGAGGAGCTGGTTGGTGATGGAGAAGAGGAGCCTGGGGTTGTCCTTAGCCTCCAAGATTGTCTTGGAGTAGAAGGACGATTCAGCAGAGGCGAGGGTGGAGTGGTAAGATTTGATAAGGTCCAGGCAGATCTGCTGATGGACTATTAAGTTGGATTTGAGCCAGGTGCGTTCAGCGGCACTCACCTGAGCCTTAAGGGACCGGAGGTGGCTAGTGTACCAGGGTGACGTCTGTGAGTAAGAGATGGTTCAGGAAGTGAGGGGAGCATGGGAATCGTGAGTGGTGGAGAGGGAGTTGTGGAGGAGAGTGACCGAGGAGGCTAGGTCATTGTGGGAGGAAGCCCAGGGTGGGAGGAATTCAGATGACTCCAAAGCAGGAAGAGGGGGAAGATTCTTTTCGAGGGGCGGTAGGAGATAGAGGTGGGTTGGGTAGCAGTGGGGAGAGGGATTAAGGAGTTAAGGGAGATGAAGTAATGGTCGGAGATCGCTTTGTTGATGATGGTGAGGTCAGAGATGTTGAGGCCCCGGGTGATCACCAGGTCGAGTAGGTAGCCATGGATATGGGTGGCAGAGTGGGTGTGGAGAGAGAGGTTGTGAGAGGAGAGAAAAGTCAGCAGAGATGGAGCAGGAGGGGGGTGAAGTGCAGGTTGAAGTCGCCTAGGATAGGAGGCGTTCAGAGCAGAGGAAGAGGGAAGATAGGAAGGTGGAGATATCCGAATGAAAGGTGGGGGAGGGTTTGGGGGATAATAATCGAGGAGGATTTTGAGGGAAAAGTTGGAGGGATGGTAGAGGATAAGGTGCTCAAAGGAGGGGAAGGTTCTGAAGAAGGGATAGACTGAGTTGGCACTGGGAGATGTGAGCCAAACCGCCACCACTGCGGTTAGGTCATGGGGTATGGTGGAAGCTGTTGAGTATAGTGAGTGGTGCAGCCTTGGTCAGGGGGAAGGTGACCCAGGTTTCAGTGAGGTTATATGAAATAATAAAAGCCAGAGAATGGTCCATTAAAGGAACGTTATTTACACCAATGTTTCTCCAAATTAAAAGCAAAACAAAAGGCTCAATTTATTTGTGAACCCAAATTAGATGAAAAGTCAAATAATTTTACAATTATCCTACCCAGAGTACACTGCAGAATGGTTAGCTGTGATGCCCCCTAGTGGTGAGAGTGTAACATTATAGCCTGCATTACTTAACAGAAACAAAAATCAAATTGAAACTCTTAACAAGATTATAAGATTGATTCGGATTAAAAAGGTTCTTCGGCTCATCTGATCTCATCCCTGGAGAATACCCACCCGTAGGTCCTTCCATCGCAGAATCAAAGCCCAAGTACCAAGCTATTGAAGTTATTACTCTTCAAAACTATGATCTCAAAATAGCTGTAAAGTCCGGGCTGTGCTGTTTTTTACCCATGAAATGTTCTGGTCTGATAGGAGGAGGTTCCTAGTGGAGATGTATAAGATTGGAGGAAACATCACCAATCCTGAGTACCTCTTAATGAGTGGTTACAGATATATGCTAGAAATGTCTGGCCTCCCACCCAGGGAATAGTTGCAAAAAACTGCAGGGCTGGATATACAAGGACAATTGTGGCTCCCAAGGCCAGCCCAATTATTTGAATGCTGTTCTCTGTGACTTTAGCTCCTTTTCCCACTCGCAGAATAAAATAAGAAACTACGACGCCCAAATTAATTAAGTGCAAATTAAACAATATATTTCCAAAGGCAAATAATTTTTTAGTGTAATGATGCTGAATTACAGGTAGCTTGCGTTCTGTGGTTTTGCTGTTATCCCACAAGAATGGGAAAACATTTTGTGGGTAATTTTTTTAATATTAAACTACAAGTTTGAATTTTTCCATCAAATCAATGAAATCAATATCAGGGGCAATAAATGTTGGGTCCATTACCTGGAATTCGAGGCCATAGTTCTCCCTGCAGAACTCCCGTAGTTTGGGGTACACATGCTCCTTCAGCGAGTTCCTTTCTGCCTCTGTGTCTGTGAGGAAACAATGAGTTTTTAGCTGTCATTGCAGGGAGCTCGTGTCATTATGTCCAGCAGATTTTACGCATGGTTTGCGTGACTTGCATAATAGTCTCCAGTGAAATGCCACCTGCCTGGGCAATCCATGCTCGTGGTAACTCTGTTGACTGCATCCTGAAGATACCAAATTACCTTTGTTACATAGTCACGTAGAGTGATATGGCAAGAAACAGCCACTCGCCCCAACTAGTCTGTGCCAGTCTTTATATTCCACCCCTTTCTCTTTATTCTATTCTAAGTGAAAGGACCTGGGTTCGATTCTCTGGCAGGGCAAAAACCTTAGGTAAGTTTCCTTACTCCACACACCTCTGTTTACATAGCAATAAATAGAAACCCGGTTGTTAGTTGATTGATGGATCCATTTCCGAGTAACAATCGCTCTGAAAAAAATAATGATAATAAAAATTTGGTCTCTCAATCTGCAACTGTTTCTGGGATACTTCTGTGCTCAATTGACTGCTGCTATTCGCTCACAAAATATATAGTCAATTCACTTTACAATATAGTCTGTGAAATTCTTTGAAACATCTGAACGGTGTGATAAGTCGCTATATCAAATGCAAGGATTATTATTATTATTATTATTATTTTCCTCACCACAGAAGAAGAAAACAGTGGACTGCTAGTAAACTGCTAGTAAAATCACACATGTGGGAAGAACACAAGGTTTATTGGATGTGAAATGACTAGAAATTTCAAATTTGAAGAAGAGTGCAGGTGAAACTCTATTCAGTCTATAGAGTTCAGGAATGCTTCTTTGAATGGTGTCTGGGTAATATCACCTCTGAATTCTCACTGCATTAACTTAACCATTGTGAGTGATTTTAAACTCACGACTTGCAGTCGATGCCATGTATATGTACCAGGGACTTACATAGTAAAACCACAATGTTTTATTCATGTGCTTTATTTTTTACATTTTCTTAAATCTTTTACCTTAGAATGTACACAGCATATTCATCTCTTTAGGGTTTTGACATCCTCCTCCTCCCCATCAAAAACAACTGGTATTTTGTTCCTTCTGACACTCAAACATAATACAGGTTTCTGAGCACTTGTGATCCCAGCTGCCAATTGTTCTTTATAACACACCCACTGCGTACTTCCACTACATTCTTTCTCTCACCTAAACCTGACCTCTTTGCTAAAAAGGCAAGTACTGAAATATATATAAGAACACAATATAAAATGTTTTGTGGATGAATTATTAATTTGTGCACAGATTTGCCTTGGTTCTTGGGTTCTACATATGCCTTCATAAGAGAACTGATATTATTTATTCCATATGATATATACTGACTCATTTTGTTAACTCCAATTCATTTCTGCAAAGCTCGTGATATTATAGCATTGAGATATCTCAAAGAACTCTCCTATTGTACATGATAATTGCCCACAAAATATACAGTCTATTCTTTTTACAGTATATTCTGTAAGGTGCTTTGAGACGTCTCAAAGATGTGATAAGCCGCTATATCAATTGCAAGGATTATTATTATTATTAGCTCAACCTGCATTTTACACTCTGACATATACAACAAGAACTGGTGGTGAAGGCAACATTTTGATTTTAGGAGATTTGTGGACATTCACAAATCGCTCAAAATTGTTGGTCTCATAGCTTAAATGCGACTGAATGAATTTCAACGATAGGCCTGCCGCTCAATAACAGAGATCGATTTTCCAATATGTATGCCAAAGAGGCAAACTGCTTTGCTGAATAGTATTTGTGCACTATATTTGTACATGGGGTTTCTTCTTTGCATATTGAGGATGCTTAAAAGCTTGATTTAGTTGGGGGCAATTGTGACAAACCAAGTGCCTTACTGCCTGCTCAGGGAACACGAGTGTTTACTGGAAAATGTGGCCTGGAAGCCACGGCTAAAAAATGTAGAGCCTTTCCAGGCCAATCAAATTTATTCCCCTCCATTCAGTTGATCCAAGGTTAAAAGACAGTTATTGTTGTTATTTCTTAAAGCCCCTGAGGTGTGAAAAAGCACTGGCTACTGTTCTGCTCTCTGACTTATTTTGCAGTTTGTTGTCCTTTGTTTTCATTGCAAAATAAACATCTTCAAATACTCACAATTTGCACATTGTTCATCTGGTTTGTTCGACCCCTCCATCTCAATATCCTGCTCTGGTGTTTCTTCTGTAATCTTACATTCGGCAGCTCTCAATCTTCATTTTTCCCACTCATCCTTCCCAATTTGCATCTCTCAAGTGTCTCTCGCACCTCCTTCACGCTTCTCACTCAATCTGTTTCTCCAGTTGTTGTTTTGACACAACTTTGACATGTCTGTTCTGACAGTTCCTTTGTTATTACACTATTACTATTTTTTACCACCACCCTTTTTTAACTGCTGTTGATCTATTTCTATTTGCAGTTCTTTCTTCCGTGCTCTGTCTCTTTCTATTTCTGTCTGCTTTGCCTATCTCCACACATGACTCTTCCCTTCTGTTGTAGTCTAAACTGAAGCTCCTTGTTAAATAGTCAGAACTCAAGATTCAATACTGCGGTCTACCACATGCTGATCACTATCAACGGTGATTTTCTTTTCATTGCATGTTTACCTTGAGACTTGCCATTATAAACAAATAATGAAAAGGATCATTAGTATTCTTCATTACATGCGATAAACCGTATTGTCTGTATTAACCCACAATCTCTCTGCCAAACCAAAAGATTTGTTCTTTGAAAATTTTACTCCAAAATACAAGTTAATAATTAAATAAATGCCAGAGTACAATCCGGTTTACAAAAAAGGCACTCCCCTTGCAAGCTTGTTAGAAACACAAATCTACAACACAGAAAGAGGCCATTTGGCTCATCAAGCATGCACCATCTCAGAGCAAAGCTAGCACTTTAATCTCACTGCTCATCTTATCCCCATACCTCTTCAAGCCCCTCTCTTTCATATGCTTCTTGTTTGTAAGATGCAACAGTCTAGATTATTCTGGTTGAAGCAATCTCATTTATCATTTGTTCTCTAAATATCTGAGTATATTTATACTGACCCATGGATGGCTGAATGTGCGCTTTCAATAAATTCAGTGTAATAAGCTTTATTTTAAGGTAATAAATACAGGCCATCAAGGTTTGCAAATGAATCCTGAACCCTAAAAGGTTGAAAAACACTTGAGCTAGCTAATAAAGAGCACATACACATTCTGAAGTTGTGTTTCAACCTCAGTCTGACCTCTGTTTAGTATTTTGATCCTCTAATAGTTGCTGAATGAATCTCTGGCTGAATCTCAATTGCTTCAATTGTCAAGATGATTTCTTAAACAGTTAAATTTTATTTGTGAGCTCGTTCCTGCAATTCTAAACAGCAAATATACAGTAAGGTTTTGTTTGCTGGTGAGTATTGGGTTACTGTTCACAGTGCTTCTACCTGAAGGAAAGGGAAACAGCAGGCAGGATTATTGTATTTGCTATTTAGTGATCCTTGCTATGGAGTGCAAGTTTGTGGACGTTGGATGAGAACAGCATCAAGCTCAGCAGTATTACTTTCCTAACAGATAGATATGCTCTTGAACTCACTGGCCCTGACTCATACATGAAGAAAGGCCACTTGGGTGAGATACTGAAGCTGACAGTGCCCACGGACAAATTCCTCAGTAAAAGTCAACTTCTTCAGGAAAGCAAGAGCAAAAGGAATGAAGTAATGAAAACAATTCCAGATGTATTCTGCAATTGTATAACAGTTTAATTCTTTGTTGGTTTACTACTTCTGAAGCTGAGTTTGCTTTGGATATTGATGGAATTCTTGTGGTAATTTATAGATTTAATTGGACTAGTAATGATTTATTATGACTATTTATATTGCATATTCTGTTTTGCTTTGCTTTTTGTTTCACGAGCTGTGCATAATACGAAACAAAATCAAATTAAACTTATACCAGACATGGAAATGTGAAAATGTTATTCACTCCATGGCTGTTTGTGGGACATCGCTGTGTGCTATTGCAATACAATACAAATATGGCACATTTATATTGCTTGCGCCTTTCATGTTCCAAGGTGCTCATCAACACTGATTTGGCACCTGAGCCGGGGGTGGGAGCTGAGGAAGGTGGGGAATAATGACCAAAAGCGCAGTCAAAGAGTTAGACATTGCAAGTAAACAGAGCAGTTTGATAATGATACACATCGGTTTCTGTCTTCAGCTGCTCTGGAATAAGATGTTCAAACAAAATTAATAATAATAATCCTTGCATTTGATATAGTGCCTTATGTCTCAAAGCACTTCACAGAATATCTGTAAAGGAAATTGACTGTATATTTTGTGGGCGAAATTGATGCTGCTGCCGGTGTGAATGTGGTGTAAAACTTCTGGTAACCCGTTTCAGTTGAACTGAAAGTGAACCTGGAGCGCTCAGTGATATTAACGGACAACAACCCTTTATTCACACAAAAATATTATTCATTGGTTTCCCAGATTATTCTGTAACTTGCCCTGCTTAATGGTGAGGCAGATGATCAAACACTGGAGCGGGGAAACATCTCTTTTGTACTGTGACATGTGCAATGTACCACAGTTACTGCCCTCATTCATATGCAGTGAAATCTCAAAACAACCATCTGTTTTGTAGGCTCCATTCACGCAAGCTTAGTAGCTTTTCACAAGCTAATTACACCTGAAGTGCTAAACAGCTGTTTTTACATTATTCAAGAATACATTGTTGTCACCAAAGCCACACTACTTATTTCAAGCAAACATACCAATGTTGCATGGGGTAAGGATGATGTTTGCCTCCCCTTGGAGACAGCTGAAATATAATAATACTTTTTGCATTTGATAGAGTGCCATTTAGGGGCCGTCTGAAAGTGCCTTACTTGATAAGAATGATACTGTGAAGTGTACTGTGTATTTTTCTTGTAGGCAAACACTGCAGTGAATTTACACGCAGCAATGTCCCACAAGCAGCTATGGAGTGAGTGACCAACTTTATTTGGCCAGGACACCAGGAGAAATTCCATTCACTTTTTGAATAGTGCCATGGGATCTTTAACTTCCACCTCAACAGGCAGACAAGTCCCCAGTTTAATGTCTTATCTGAATCCCAGCACCTCCAGCAGTACAGCTGGATAGTAAACCCACCGAATTTTTAAAAAAATTAAAAAACAATTATTTGGTTAATCAATTATTAACCAAATTTATGGTTAAATTTGTGGGACTGTTTGTGTGATATTACTGTGCGCATTGCTGTGCGCAATTTGCCGCTGCGTTTGGCCCACAGAATACAGTCATTTCACTTTACAATACATCCTGTGGAGCTCTTTGAGTCTTCTCAAGGACGTGATATGGTGCTATATCAAATGCAAGGATTATTATTATTACAGCACTCCCCCAGAATTGCATTGGAGTGTCAGCTTGGATTTGTGAGTTCAAAGTCCCGATGTGGACTTTAAACTCAAAATCTTCTGACTCAAAGGCCAGAATGCTACCAAATGAGCCAAGCTGACATATTATGTTAGTAAGCAACTAGATTATCCCTTTACATACCAAACAAAAACCTCCACCTCCTTCGCCACACTGCTTAATAGTGGATTCTTTATATTGAATTAATAACTTTCAATATAAAAACATTTCAGACTCATTTTTTTCCTCTTCCCTTTCCTGAGGCATTTGACTTCTTTATCTTTCTACTGGAATACAGTTCTGGGGGTGATGCTCACTCTCTGGAAGCTAGCTAAAATGAACCACTCTTCACATGTAAACCTTGATTTAAGTATTTATTTTAGAGAGAGCGGGATTATTATAATTATTACTGTTGTTATTTTGACTTGCTACTAGCTGGGGGAAATGGAGCCAAAGTCAAGCTGGGGTTGGTGTCTTTGCTTGGTATCTCGTGGAGTCCTGCAGCTCAGTGGTTAGAGCACTCGCTTTGCAAGCGAGAGACCTGAGTTCAATTCCAGGCAGGGAGAAACCTTGGGGAAGTTTCCTTACTCCACACGCCTAATAATAATCCCTCCAAAACCAAAANCAATAATAAATTGGTCATTTTCAATCTACGACTGTTTGTGGGACATTGCTGTGCGCAATTGGCTGCCGCGTTCGCCCACAAATATACAGTCAATTCACTTTACAGTGTGTTCTGTGAAGCGCTTTGGGACGTCCTCCCGACGTGAAAAGCGCTATATCAAATGCAAGGATTATTATTATTATTATTGACAATGAGTGTTTGTTGGCTATTCAACTGGGTGGGGTGGTGGAGGGGAAGAGTGAATTACAGCTGAGCTCCAAACTGTTTTTCTCTGATGTCCATACACACGAAGGTACTTCCAGTCAGGCTTTCTGGATAGCAATCAGGAGAAGGAACTCTGTTCTATCTCTCTAGCCCTTGTTCTATGGACAACTGTAGTACTCTTAGTGGTGTCCCAGACGTGATTAATCAGATTTTGTAGTTCCTGATCACTGTCCACAGTATTCCTACTGGAACGTCAATATCAACCTTATATGAGGACAGCGCCAGGCTCAGCTCTAATACCTGGGTTCATAAATGAAAATTAGTCACTTGGGAGAGATAATGCTGGACAACTAATAGCCTTGGCACTATAAACCAGTGTGAGCCAGAACCTTCATAAGAGAAAATTGTACAGGAAACAACAACAAGATTACATTTGTATAGCACCTTTCACGTCAGGGGGAAACCCCGCAAAACTAAAAAAAAGTAAATGAATAAACTTTAAAACATTATATTTAATAATAACAATTATCATTGCATTTGATGTAGCTCTTTAGCATTTTGTTGAGATGTCTCGATACAGGATATGCTGTAAAGAGATGTGACTATGTACTTTGTGGGCTTTTGCCCACAACAAAAAGTCACTATATTTGACACAAAACGGAGGGATTGAAAATGTGGCGCGTGAAATACTACAATTGTTACTCCTGGTTATTTGTAAAACATTTTGAAATGTTTCAATGTGTCAAGGTTCTTTAGAAAGCAATTTCTCTCCTCTATCAGATGTTTTGATCTTCAATGTGTCAAGTTTCTTTAGAAAGCAATTTCACTCCTCTATCAGATGTTTTGATCTGGTAGTGACCCTGCTCCTTGGTGGGACAACTGGATAAAGGAGGAATCACTATCTATATTTCTTCCAATTTGATCGAAGCGGTGGAGATGCTGCCATACCTTGGGTGCTATACTGACTACCTTTGATGGTCTCATCAATGACTTCCTTGCTCTGATTCTGCATTCCTTTCAATCAATTCCACCTCAGTTGAATCTGATCAACACATTAAACGAAAGATATGATTTAATTATCAGCGGCCTTTTGTGCATGAGGCACCACATGGGATCACTTGAGTCAGAATCGCTCTCTACATTTCAAAGCATCAATGAGAGAATATTCTAGTGCGACAGCTTTGATCAAATATGTTCAAGAGATGAGTTTCATTGTCAGTGCTCCCTCTAAATATCAAATATCTTCAAAGGGTTATTATTAACTTCTTTCAAACGCTTTGTTCATCTGGGTAATGTATGTCAGCATCTGTAAAATGAACTTGTTTCTGCCATTAATGCAACATCAAGTATTTCCAGCTCAGTTACAGGGTTGGCTGATATAATAAATCCACCCAGAGTGTTGGTAAGGGAGTGGGACCAAGCTGTGTGCCCACAGGGTGATGATTCTGCATGTCAGACTCTGCTTTCCTCCCCCAAGGTGGATAGTCACTTATTGGCCAATTAACATCCGACAAGCGCAGGTTTGAGCCCTCACTTGGTATATGGCAGGTATCAGGAACTCTTTGTGAGCTTCCTGGTGGACAACACAGTTCACCATAAAATGTGCGAGAGCATTGCTACATCTCCTTCAGAGCATCTATTTTGCAGTATTTCTGAATGAGATTTAAGCAAATGCACCCAAGGTTAGTAGGATGTTTTTATTTGATTAGTGCAGCGAGAATCACTCAAGTAACCTCACATAAATTCATGCAACTGGACTCTTTGGCCTGAGGTTAAATATTTGTACTCAGTTTTGTACATTGTAGGGTTAGAGTCAGAGACAAAGATAAATGCAGAGAAAGTCAATGAGAAAAGGGCTAGCATAGTGCGGTACTTCTGATGGCACAATTGTTTCAGTTAGCACTGAACCAATTTGTATGTTGTGTAATGTTCAATTATCCACACAGTTTGCTAATGCATATTGGAACTGGTCCCAAATAGCATTGGTAATTGGCTCTCTACTCTAACATAAAATTGACCTCCAGATATTTTTCTGAGCTTTCAGAGAGAGATTGTCAAGTTGTAATAAAATCTACCTCTTTGACAACTTCTTCAGTTATTTTCCCCCTCCCCAACCTCCTCAGATCCCATCCCCAGTTCAGATGCCAATTCAGGATGGTTAAGCACCTTGGGACATGCTCCCAATGTGAAGATGCTGTAAATTTGTATTGTATTACCAAATTATGGGTGGCTTTGACCTTTGAATGAAAAGATAATGTGTTTATAAAGTGCTTGTTAGGAAAACAGTAAATGGCTTCTCTCACTGGAAAAAAACATCTTGAGAAGTAACGTGCATCTTCCTCCAGCGAACCTAATGTTCGTCAAGCCAATCCTTGAGAACTCAGTTCTAACCCAAGGTTACCTCACAGCCAACTTCTGGTGGGTCAATATGTGATGTACATGGGGTTCCCTGCAGGAGACTCACTTCACATCTCAAGGTGCTTTTCTGCGAGTGTTCCCAATTGAACCAAACTGGCAGTGCCCTAGAAGAGTGTAGATCCAGAACAACAACAAGATTCCATTTATAGAGTGCCTTTCATGTCGGGAGGACATCCCAAAGCGCTGTACAGTTAGGTCAGGACCCGAGCAGGGGGGAAATGGTCAGGGGGAGGGAAGGGAGGGAGCGAGGAGGGGGTAGAGAGTCGAGAGGGGTACTGAAGGCACGGTCAAAGAAAAAGGTCTTGAGACCGGCCTTGAAGGAGGAAAGGGAGGAGGCGGCGAAGGCACTGGGGAATGGAGTTCCAGAATCTTGGGGCTGAGAGGCTGAAGGCCCGGCCACCGATGGTAGGGCGGTTGGGGCGGGGGATGTGGAGCAGACCGGAGCCAGAGGAACGGAGGGTACGGGCAGGTAGGTAGGGGGATAGTAGGTCAGAGAGGTAGGAGGGAGCAAGGCCATGAATGGCCTTGTAGGTGAGGATGAGGATCTTGAATTCGATCCTCTGGGGGATGGGGAGCCAGTGGAGGCGAGCGAGGGTGGGAGTTATGTGGTCCCGAAGCCTGGTGCGGGACAGTACACGAGCTGCAGAGTTCTGAATGACCTGCAGCTTGTGGAGGGAGGTGCCGGGAAGGCCGGCGAGGAGAGAGTTCCCATAGTCCAGCCTTGAGGTGACAAAGGCGTGGACCAGGTTTCAGCAGCGTGAGGGGTGAGGTAGTGCCGTAGTCTGGCGATGTTCCGGAGGTGATGGACGGCGGTGCCAGTTGTGGCGCAGATATGAGGGAGAAAGGACAACTCAGGGTCGAACAGAACCCCGAGGTTCCTGACGGCTTTGAGAGGTGGAGAGTGCAGCCTTGGATGCTGATGCTGTCAGCGCCTGAGGTGCGGAGGCGCTGACGTGAGCCAATCAGGAGGGCCTCAGTTTTGCACACGTTGAGCTGAAGAAAGTTGTCTCTCGTCCAAGACTCGATGTCGGACAGGCAGCTGTCAGGACATCGGTGGTCGTGGAGTTGAGGGTAGAGGAGGAAAGGTAGAGTTGGGTGTCATCCGCATACATGTGGAAGTTAACCCCATGTCTGCGGATGATGTCACCAAGGGGGAGCATATAGAGGGTGAAGAGGAGGGGACTGAGGACAGAGCCCTGAGGGACACCGCATGAGACAGTGCGGGGGCTGGAGGAAAAGCCGTTTGTGGATCAACTGGCCTGTTTAAAAGTTTAAAAGACAGAGAGGTACTTGGGAAGTAATGGTATGAAAGGATAAAACAAAATGTGGGGTATTTGGATGAGAAAGAGAAATTACAATATAAAGTAATAAAATGACAGATGGGTAACATGACCTACTCCTGTTCCTATGTACCTGGTAATAATGTCAAAGTATGCACAGCCGAAATTGTTGTGCAGGCACCTGTACATCACGGAAGCAGCAGACATTAACATAAGCAAATATGTAAAAGATAGACAACCCAGTGAGCGATGTGTAGATTCCAGATCTGTCCTTCACCCCCTACAGTGTATCAGCTTCTCATTTAATGAAGTAAAGGTTCCCATTTGTCTGGAATTATTAAAACTGGCTAATTTGATTCAAATAAAGACCTTTGATCTGCCCTAACTAAATAGAATTGATTCTATTAGGGATTCTAAGAGGCACTACGTTAGGAATTTAAATCAGCTCTGACGCTGAAGATGTCGGTGTAAATGATCATTTTTTTAATTGGTGTGTTTAAAATTATCTCAAATTCAAGTCTGTGAAGGGAAAACTCTGCTACTGGCAATGATTGTAATCATCACCAATCAGTGAAATTATCCCACCTTGAAAGGAGGTCAGTTTGATCACCACAGTATTAACATTATACAATGCAGTTTATATTTTTATAGTGTCTTTAATATTGGAGGATATCTGAAGTGCTTCACACTGCTTGCTGGGTACACAATCTACAACAACAACAACTTGCATTTATATAGCGCCCCTCATGACCCCGAGCTGGGGGGAGGTGGCTGTAAGCAAGGTCAAACAGGTAGGTCTTCAGTTGCAATCTGAAGGTGGAGAACGAAGGGACAAAGCAAAGAGATAGAGGAAGAGTCTTCCAGAATTTCAGGGCGTAGTGCTGAAAACATGGACACCAATGGTGGAACAGAGGGCACGAGGCTGGTGGAAACATGGGTGGGAGCTAAAGAGTGAGGAAGGAAAAGATGACCTAATGTTAAGGCAAAAAAGTATGTCTTGAGGTAGGTTTTGAACGTGAATCATCAGTAACACTAAAAACTGGCACCAAAAATACTTCAGTAATTGAGTTATACGTATGTATTAATTGGTGGAGTATTTGCAGTATTGCTCAGGCAAGCAATGGTCAAATAAATGAAATTTCCAAGTCTATATACAAGGACAAGAGGAGGCAATTCAATGTTGATTTTTATTGCAGATCTTTTAATCTAATTTCCCAGCCTTTCTCCATATCCCTTAATACCACTGCTTCCCAAGCATCCATCAATCTGCCTTTTAAACATCCCAATCGATTTGTCATCTTCTGAGAGGCAACATATCCTCCCAGTTCTCTGTGTGAGTTAATGTTTTCTGATTTCAAGACTATGTAGAGTCCCATTTTAAAATGTTAAAACAAATGAAGCACAGAGGACTTTTGAATAGAAGGATTTTTTTCTCTCTTATAAAATACTTTCCTGTAATAGTCTCCTCCCATTTCCTCTCTGAAGGCTTTTAATTTTTGACGAAACACAAATGACCTAAATTGAATCAAGGTGCAACATCTTGAAGATAACAAAACTAATTCTTTTTTCCTCCTCCTTGAACAAACACAAGACCACAAGAGAAGTTCAGTTGAAACAAATCACTTGTCCCTGAAGAGTGCTCAGTTAATGTTGCATTTGCATTTGTCAGCAGCCAATGGTGTCCCCAATAACTGGTGCCAGCTTATTGCTTTCGGGCTGTTTCTTGGGCAAGAAAAGAAGTATACTTTCCGCTGTCACATCTCTACATATCTGTCACAGAAGATTGGGCCATCATGGGTAGCCAGAAAATTAAGTTCTTGATATGTACTGATGTTACAGTGCTCCTGCCCATACTCTGCAATCTCCCTGCTGTTTGTGGGACATTGCTGTGCGCAAATGGGCTGGAGATGTTTCAAAATTATGAACCAATATCAAATTACAGCATTATTATTTCATTTCGTAATACAGTGGCTGGATCACTACAAAATGTCAAGTTTCACCCAAGTAATCCCTTTCTCCTGTTCTAGGAGAATTGATGCAGATTTGTGAACACTTTATTCTGTTTGACCAGCAATCACTTGGCACAGCCACAGTTTGATTTTGGGGTGCGATGATTATAACATCTGCAGGCAAGTCACATAGTGAAGTATAATAATACAATATACATTTATAATATAAATAAGATGAATTAAACTGTAAACTTCATTAATCACTTTGTGGGATACAGTTTTTTTTGCATTATTGTTTGATCAGTTTGTAAACTCTTAACAGCTGTTTCTTTTTGAGTGCTGCTCTCGGTAAAATCTCGCATAAC